ATAGCATTGAGCCATGGCAGTTAAAGCAGTGTCAAACAGCACTATTCCTGCAGTGTAAATGTAGACTATTAATGTAGTAGACTTCTGATTAGAATCCAAAGGGGTATAGCCCAGACACAGTTGTTCTACTCATCCGTTATGAAAGACTCTAGCCTGTTAGCCATGTTTCCTTCTTTCCCTTTTTTTCTTAAAAATACTCTTCACCTAATTAACATTCCAAAGGCAAAGCCTGTAAATTGATAAAGACAAGACAAATGAATGGAAAAAAAAAACCCTACTCCCTTGCACATATTAATAGTATGGATGCTTTTGGAGCTAAATGGCCTGTTTGCTCAACGGTATCCTTTCATTACTCCGCCATTTCAACATCTCTCTCCCCCCTCCCCTTGTGCTAAAATTGTATTTTGATTAAATAAAAATTCCTGGTGCATATTTCGACACCGCTGAGTCGAGATCTTAGCGCTGATGCCTTGATGTGATCGGCCCATAAATGCAAATTGAAGCAATCACGCAAACACAGGAGCCAAGTGAAAGAGAGCAAGCGAGCCGAGAAGGCTTTCCCCCCCCCAAAAGAAATATCCAAACAAGCTCAGTCATTTGATTAAACTTGTAGTAATTTGTCCTTCCTATCATTTCCCCCCATTATAAAGAGGGAGCAGTAAAGACGGGAGGCTTCAGCTCAGCTATAAAGATACATTCAAGAAGAAACCGTTGGAGAAAACCTCCACGGATCTCTCCTGCAGAAAAGGTTACATTAAGTATGGTTGCATTCCACCCTTTCCCTTTAAAACACAGCATCCCAAATTTGGAGATTAAATGGATCTCGTAAAAAGTACCTGCAGAGCCATTTCTGTGATTCCTAACTTGGTGCATTTGTCCTTGGTTAGGAGAGAGGAGCCAAGACTCAGCATGGCATTATAGTTCTGTGTGTGGAACGATGCTACATCTCTCCTCTCAACATTGCTTAGATTTGCTTTATAGAGGCCCTGAAGACCTCCATGGACATTCTGAGGCTGGTTGAGAGCAGAGGAGAGGAGTTGAAGAATTGTTATGTCTTATACCCAGAAACAGATGACTGACATCTTCTGTTGAGATCCACCAGGATCCTCTGGAGGTCTCAGTCAATGATGATGATAATGATGTAATTGTTTTGTGTCTGGCTATGGGTATGTGATCAGAAACTTCTCTTATTCTCTCTATGCTCCTTCAGGTGCAGAATGGGCATGGGGGCAAGGGGCTGTAGTAACTAAATGGTAAGTCCTG